CCAATTGATTAATTTTTGACGAAATCGTAAAAATTATATTGAATAAAGTTAGTTTAAAATAATGTGGTGTGAAATAACCGATAAACTTTTTTTTCTTTAATTTTATAAAAATAAAAGACCACTTTTATAATTCTGAATTTATCTAACTGAACTAATTCAATTATTTTAACCAATGTTCGAATTCTTGACTGTTTTACCGAACACATACATTAGTTCTTTTCAAAAAATTAAACTGCCCTTTGGGCATCGTATCATGCTTGTTTTTAAAACAATCCGCAGCATTGTAAATTATTTCCAGTAATCCAGTTTCTGTAGCGAAGGCAAAGCAAACAGTTCTGATTTAAAAGAGCCACACAGAAACAAATTTAGCGGCATTAAATCGGGTGATCTTGGTGGCTAATTTATGGGTGCAACTTTCTCAGCGATAGAATAATGTTCCATTTTAGAGAAACAAAACACTTTCCACACATTAAAACAATACCAGGCTTACGTCAAAACACGTCAACTTATAAAGTACTTGATGATTACAAAATTAATAAAAATCGATATGAACGTTTATAAATTATTTGGACAAAACTATATTCATTTGAAAATGTTTGCGCCCTGTAGAAGCAAAATAAAGCAAAATTGGATAGAGGTAAGTTTGCTTAGATCGCCTTATTTTCGGTAAAGAAATTTGTGGTTAAGCGTTGTACAAGCGTTTCAGGGACACTCTGTTTATTACTGTCATTTATTTTGATTACAAAACTTGTAACATGTTTCCAGGCATCATTTAATAAATTCATTCAATCTGATTGAATCTCTCTCAATGAAACCTGATTAGTAAATAACATTCTGTTGTGGAGAGAATACTGAAATGGTGCATTCGACGAAAACGGCTTGTATGAAATGTTTTAACCTTTTCGAAGATATGCTGTTTTTCAACCTGCCGTCGCCTGAAAGAGGTAAAAGCCTAATCGGATTTAGACTTTTTTACACCAAAATATAAATCATAATTTTACTTACTATCATAATAGTCATCGTATATCTGTGATATAACAAACTATAGCTCAGCATGAATCGTTGCTGCCATAAATAGTGCGCCATAAATTAATACAAGATACAGATAGACAGAGATATTTTTAGTATTTATTAATTTCATATATTTGTTTATATTATCCTTACTTGTATTATATTTATATATTTGTACATACTTCCAGAAAGTTAAGCGGAACTTTTCATCAGATAACTAGTAAACAATAAACTGAATTCCCTCGATTTTTTAAAACAAAGAGCATTATTCCTTTTCGTTTCAAATCGTAACAATGCTCGGCCAAATGCTGTGATGGTGCTACGCATGAAAACATTTAAGAGATCGATGGATTCAATTCATTGAACAAACAAATACATTTCTTCACATTGATTAATTGGATTACTGTTTTAGTTGTATTGCTTTCCGGTTTTTATTATTCTATACCTTTACCTCTAGGAAACTTTCATAAAGTTTGAAACTATGACTGATGAATATGTATTATCAAGCAAAGAAAGAAGGGGATATCGATAAAATGAGGGACTGTTCGCATCTTTGACCATTAGACGGATCGATGATAGTTCTTCATGGGAATGAAAACTCCTTCAACTGATAATTTTCCAAACAAAATCGTATTATTTCCATTATCCCCAAGCTTATATTATCGGAACTATTAATTCAGCCGTAAATCAATCATCATGAGTTCAAAGAGATTTAACTAAAATGCACCTGACGACATATTATTTAAATCTAGAAAACTCAGATTAAAAAAAAAAACTGTACTAAATCAAGGCAAGTGGAGAAATTTACGAAATTTTGTCGGTAATATAACTGAATGGAGCGGCTGGAGACTGAAGCTGCCGTAAATAATAAATAAAAGCAGCTCTTTTTCTGCTGCAAACGTGCTATATATCAGTAAAAATTCCCAGCTATTTTATTTACATTTTGGAAGAATGTGAAATAGAACTGGAAACAGGAAACTAACAGATTGATGGTCAATATACCACTGATGTATGATTGCGTGTACTGTTTTGAAATACATCGACCTGGAATTTTATGTTATAACCGGAGTATGTTAACTCCTTTCAAGAGACTCCAAACTTTTAGAAAACAAGAGAAAAATATAAAATCCTAGTCAATTTTTGTGGAATTGCCGTATTCGACAATCGGCATTTGGAAGTGTATTTTTGTTGTGTATATTGAGTGTGCATACAAAAGGTTTAATTTGTTTTATCGTCTCTTCCACTAATCTTCCGCGTCGTATAACATGAATAACCCTATAACCCTATAACCGGATAAAGTGCATAAAAGGTGCCCGATTTTTACCTCAAAAAGACTATAGACTGTCAAACAAATAAGTATTTGTCTACGATGGTGTGGGTGGACTATCTTCTAAGAAATACATGTTAACGATTTCGGTCAACGTTTCAATATTATATACATACACGGTGGTTTTTTAGTGCGATAGAGTCCATTATTTCCGATGGTGTTGAACTTTCGAAAAACAGTTTCATATAAAAGTTGTTGACGCACAAAGTGCGCATATTATAAAAATATCTTATATGATACAGCGTGCCTCAGAAAAGCGAGGCAAGATCAAAGTGTATTTTTTAAAAGAATTTTAATAAAATAATAATAATAAAAAAAAAAAAATTGCTTAAAAACATGGTATCTAAAAATTGAATGTAATATCAATACATTGTACAGGGTGTTAACAATGTGGACTTCAATCTAAAACTTTTTAACGCAATATAACTTTTGTTTTTCAAAAAAATGGAAGTATCTGTATATTAATACGGCATTAGATAGACGATTTACAAAGTTACAAATTTGCATTTACACTTTAAGCTGTAAAATCAACCGTTTTCAAATTTAAAAATTTCAAAAAGTTGCTACATTTTGTAAGGTGGCTATGGAAGTCAATATTACTGAATTGGTTTTTGAATAACTTTTTCTACAGTACTTTCAGATGTAATTATGATATCAATTCACTAAATGACAAATTGTCAATACTTTAAGTTTTGTTTTTGAAGTTTATTATGTTCTAGTTATTAATCGTTAATTTTTTCCATAATAATTATGAACTGACGCTCTATTTAAATATAAAGTCTTGAATCTCACCTACTGGCTCTTAGACTAGATGGTGTAGTTGACACCATCTATTTTCAAAAATTTAATTGAACGGGACAAAAACCGACACAAGGAACATTCTGAAATGTTTTTTTATATGATCTCTTAAAATTCGGGATACTTTAAAGTCAACTTTAAGGTTAGCACTCTGTACCCCTTATGTATATCTCTAGTATTATCCATACTGTATATAAGGTCTCTGAAAATGAAGTAAAATTTAAGAAAATTATAATCTTGGTATATTTTGAAGTAAGTAGGTCCTTAAGTACCTATTAATAGTAGATCTAATTCATGTCTTGGTTAGCAAGTTACTCACAGCTATAGGGTTATAATTTTAAGTTTTACGTACAATTATATGGTCACTTATGCCGACTATTCGTCAAATAAGAAGTATTTAGTATCGTCCAGAAGCCACAGCCGAAACGAGTATTTAGTCATAAGATGTTTGGTCAGAATCATAGTCTTTAGTCATAAGAGGTCTGATATAAGTCATTAGAGGTCTGGTCAGAAGTTAGTCATAAGAGGTTCAGTCTTAGATAGTCTAAAGACGGTCTTAACAGTTACGGTCACATTCATGAGAAGTCTTAAGTTATTGTTAGGTTCGGTTACATTTAAGTTTGTATTAATTTGGAATAAAATTATTTTTCAAAACGAAAGTCAAATTAATCAATAAAATCGTACTTACTACGATTACTGAAAACATATCTTCTACTAAATGAATAAAATTAAATGGCACACGTTTGAAAATTGAAAGCAATGTTTAACAATTATTTAAAATCGGTCACCGATACTTCATAATAATTATTAAAATGTAATAACAATGATATGTGTTTTTAATAAATACTGCTACATTCTGAAAAGTTTCCTGTATTGGAAACATTTAGGAATATGCAAATAGTTTTTAGCAACCAATATCTGAGCGTATTCGATATGAAATAGGTAGCTGCAAAAAATAGCGTCACATCTGGAAAAGTTGCCATTTCTTGACATTCATTATTTGTAACTAGTTTAATTAATGTAGGTATTAAATTTCTTATTGGTAGTTGGGCATTTTTTGGAACACCCGGAAATTTTAGAACATTTTTTAAATGTTGGGTTATTGCACGTTTCAATTAAAGTTTCATAGTACAGAGTTAGCAGAAGAAAGAAACTAACTCAGGTACTATATCTATTCAAATTTTTAAATTGGAATTTGTCGTGAATGATTGAACGATTTTGAAATAAATCCATTTGCAAAATAAGTACCTACCTACCTGTACATTTCATAATTTAGTAAGTGGTCGCCAAAATGTACTTTTAAATTGTTAGTGATAAAGTTGAGGAACCCAAAGCAGAAAGTAATGAATGGTGCGAGCACCAAATAATCTAGTGATCAACAGGTTAATCGAAAATAGGAAGAACCGAACATTTTCGATATAGAATTGATTGCAGGCTTGAGAAGTAGGACTCATTAGGCGAGACCATTTCCTGCATAAAATAAACAATTTTGCTACTGCACATACTGAGAAACATACAGTCTCCTATTTCACGTCGGCGATACGATGTAGTTCACTTACATAAGGTGTAGGTAGAAGATTTTTTTCTTCAGCCATCGACATGTTCATAATCAGTATTTAGAAATGTAAATACGGTAATTCTGGTTGGTTGGTTGCCCGCAAATCAATGAAGCAAAAAAAATGAGGTTCTACTAGTGGGCCGGCAAGGTCAGGGTAAACCGTTGAAACTCCTTCCTGAATCAGCAAAACTGTTTTCTTTTAAAATTTTATATAATTACCAACAGAAAACGATTGAACAACGTACATGGTCAATCCAAAATAAACGTCTAATTATGTCCTAAGATAGGTACTTATGTGGAACTCACCGTCAAAACACTGGATATTTCCTGCGGATTTGAGCCCCAAATGTAGTTAAACTGCAATCTGAAGGTCTTTAGCGGCAATACACTCAAATTCACCCAAACAAACTATATAGTCTTTCATAAATTGTATGAACCACGAATAATAAAGTCTTTGTTCGACCACATAGCCGGCATCACTCGCACAGAATCGACGTCACAACGCCAACCGAAACAAACAAAAAGCAGTCTCCTGCCCGTACGTAAAGAAGAAAATTCCAAGAAGAGAAAAAAACAATAAAGCAGTATTCTTCCGGCAACGTTGCCGCACGTGACTAGACGGTCGCACAGCCGGCGTTTTCTCAGGATCCTGCGAGAACGTCGAATGAGCAACGCAGCTCGAAACAGTTTGTACTGCTTGTAGCGGACGTAGCAGAGTTGGCTGTAGCCGGAGCCCTGCTGCAGTTGGAGGTGGCAAAACGCGTCGTGGGTAGCAGAAGAGGCGGCAGACAGTGCAGGGCGCAGGGCTGGAGCTCTCGATCTGGTTCGACAGTCCCGTTTGGCGGCAAACTAGTCGAAATGCTATTTTCCTGTTTCACTTCTCCGTATAGCCTGAAACTCATTTCATTGTTTGATGGTAATCCACTGATCCGAAACCGCTGGGATTTCATCCATAAAACAAGTTAAAACAGTTAACAGCTCCCTCATTACGCGTCCTAGCGCCATTCGCCATGTCAATAGAAAATAACTTATAGCGATTTCATATAAAAATAAAAAATCTATAATATATTTTTGTTGTTTTGTTTATCTATCTATACAGGGTGATTTACGTAGCCCGCGCATTTTCCAACTTGCAGCTGTTTGAGAAACATCAAATTTTGTTTCGGATTATACCAAGATTCAAATAGATTTAGCCCTCTAGCTATACAGGGTGTAATAAAACTATAATCTAACTTTCTTATATTAAATGCAAACCTAATTTATTTAGCATGATTGAATTTGCCTTCCAATTGCTAGTTTGAATAACCCTAGTTTTGTTAACTTGGTCTCTTATAGTTGTTGATATAATAATAATGTTCGTTACTTCAAATATATTTCATTTGCTTAAGAGAAAAATGCCATTACAGAAGACTACGGAACAAGCTATATCTAAGGAAAGTTTTAAATTCAAAACCAAAATTTGGTAGGTAGTTAGCTGAAAGCCCAAGCTAACTCCCCAGGTGACATTAGAGTACTTAGGGAGTTAGGGTGATTAATTTGAAACTTGCGTTTTTAAAAACACTTTTATTTCAAAATTAATACAATTCTATAATATGGACTGGATATAGATATAATATGGTAACCGTAGACTGACTTTAGACTTAATTTTTATGACTTCTGACTAAACATCTAATGACTAAATTCTCGTTTCTGCTGAGGCTTTTTTTTATAATAAAATTATGCTGATCCTAGCAGAAACGATACTACGTCTTAATTTATCAGAATAGTCGACATAAATGGCCATATAATTCCTCCCTCCTTAAGTCTAAGAAAATAAGGATTTATTTTCGACGGTTTTCAAATTTATGAACATTTTTACATCTTGCCTTTTCCTTCTATAGTAATAATAATACATTGTAATACATATAATGATTATTACAATTAATACTGAAATTAAAATTAAGGAAATACTTCCATTAGCAACACTGAAGTTTTCGAGAGGGTGAGTGTTTAGTTTTCGAACATCTTCTAAGTCTTCTCGATTGTTTTCGGAATTTGATTCTTTTATTTCTAAAGGTTCAATTTCTTCTATCAATTTTTTGTTTTGGTTCAGGTTAATGTTAGACAATTGCGCATCTACAGGGTGATTCAAAATTGGCGTCATTCCTATGGAGGTGTTGTCTGGCGCTGTTATAGGAGTACAGAAAAAGTAGTAAAATAAATAATTTGTTATTAAAAACTCAGAAATTTGCAAAAAACTATATCAGAAATACGGCAGCAATGTTTTTCAAGGTAATCTGGCTAATTAACATTGCGCAAATACTTACTTAATAATAATACTTATTTAAAACTCCGGTAACCATGGAATTATACAGACTGACAATAAGATAGACAAGGATAAACGGCAAATTCAACAAGATTTGTTGACGAAATGTCAACCTGTTCTCATAACCTTGAATTCTGCGGGGTTTTATGTTTACATAAATTCTCCATACAACACCAAACATTTGAATGGTTAACTCCAAACAAGCTAGTGCGTGTGTAATCTCCTTATTATCCACTGCTATCAAGCAGCTTCTCGTATTCAGTTAATTAATGCTCCATTTCTATCTCCTTGTGCTGTGTGTATCGTACAAACGCCTTTCCTCGGTATTTACTTGGTGCTTGGGAAAGTGTCAGTTATTGTGCTCTGAGTACCCCTGGAGGGCCCTGATTCGATTATGTCCCATACTTGTTCCTCTGTGCCTGGAACCCGTACATCGATTGTCGTCCACTATCTTCCTGGAACCACTCTCCTCGCCCTTTGTTGGCGTGAGTTCTTTCAGCTTCTGCTATGTTACTGTAGCATTTC